TCGTAATAGTTTATTCTCTCCTCTTGTAGGTGTAGTATTCTTCCTTGGCGGGAGTTGCTTAGTTTGATTGTTTCGTAGATGAGTAAGCGTAGTTCTCTAAGCTCTCGATTTCACGACATCCTCCTCCCTAGGTTCAACTAGATGACTGCTCAGCTAATTCTAATTATTTTTAGTTGTAATTATGTGTTTTATTTATAAAATCTATCATTAAAAAAAAAATACCTATTCCAAATTGTGAGTGTACCAAGTTTTAGAAAATTACACGATTCACTTGCTTCTTTCAACAACAGCATATTCATCATATCCACATAGTTTTAAGTAATTTCCGTTCTGTAAGTCAATAACCAATCAAATACCATACTAATCGTAAGTTTCACTAAGCATTGTGTTCTTTATCAGGTCATATTCTCAAAAAGTTTTGTGTACTTGCAGAATGAAATGACATTGATCCTTACGTTCTTCCTTTAATTCAAACCAACAAATAATTATTTAAATATTTTGACAGATTATTCCACACATTATGATAACCCATTCCCGTTGCAATTTCATGAAAATTGATCAGCAAGAGCTATGCTACACACAACAAATCAATAAAAATCTATTGGAAAGTGATGAAAGAAACTTATAGTTCTAATTCAGAAAGTGAGATAAAACGGAACAATGCGCTTTGAAAGACATAAAGCTCAACATAGAAAGCTGATATTGAGGGTTCATTTGCATTAAAAGCTATAGCGCGGTCATTCTAGAAATGAATCAAATCCAAATTATGTGCCTTAAAAAGATAATCAGGTCAACACAGAAAGCCGATACAGAGGGTTCATTTGCATTAAAATCCTAAAATAAAGAACATGCCCTTTATAAAGATAGTCACAAATCAGCAGGCAAGATTTTTTCGGTAACAATGTAATAGAATTGCCAGAGGATTCATGTAATGTGTCTTAAAAACTATAGTCAATCATACCAGAAATGAAAAATATGCTGCTCCACATCAAAAGAGATATTATATAGAACATGCCCTTTAAGAAGATAGTCAATAACTAGGACAGATTTCTGCTGAAATGCGACTTAAAAGGAGCACTTGTTCTAGAAAGTGAACATGCGGTGCTCTCTAGAGTCGGTCACTAGACAAAAGAATGAAGCCTTATTAGGATAATCACTCAAGTGAGATACAATTTCCTAATGGAATAATGTAATGTGCCTTAAAAGTATGGTACTCATGACAGAAATACAATGTAACCCCACAAATAGTCTAGTAATAAAAATTTCCACTTTTATTAGTATAACATCCTATTTATACAAGACAAAACATTTCAGTAAACATAGTACCTTAAACATTTCACAAAATCAGTTTCAAAATACAGAGGCCCTTTTGCTCTGTCAAAAAAAAAAAAAAAACAAAGAAAAAATGGCATCAGGGTCAAACGGGAGGCCCATAAACGAGAAATATACGATCAACGGACATGATGACGGGCAAAAAATTCCGAGACATCCTCGATGGAGCAGGCATGAGACCCTTGTCCTAATAGAAGGGAAAAACATTGTGGAGGCAGGAGGACGTGAGGGCCGGAAAGCGGGCCCCATCTCTGGGCCGGGCCGTGTAGAGCCCAAGTGGGACGCCATCTCTTCCTACTGCAAACTAAATGGAGCTTTTCGGGGGCCCGTTCAGTGTCGCAAGAGGTGGAGCAATCTCTTGAGCGATTTCAAGAAGGTAAAAACATGGGAATATGGGGTGAAGGACAAAGGTGAAGAGGGTGAATCGTTTTGGACGATGAGAAGTGATTTGAGGAGAGAGAGAAGGCTTCCGGGATTTTTCGACAGAGTGGTTTATGATGTTATGGAAAATGGAGTTTTCAATGTGGCGCACAAGTACCAACTCGCGCTCGTCACTGTAAATGTTGATGAAGGTAATAATAGGATTAATGGTATGGATGGTGTGGAGGAAGAAGATGAAATGGAGGATGAGGAAAATAATTGGGATGATTTGCTTTCTGATTTCGAACAGGATGTGAGAGAGGAAATCGGGAGGAAATCGGGGAAGGGAAAAGTTTGGGTGGATGGTAAAATGGATGGAATTCCTTCTCCAGTGCCCATTTCAGGTAAAGATTCGATAATTTTTTCATATTTGATTATTTTCAAACATACAAACTTGTATTCTTGTATACGCATGGGGAATATATTTTTATCACCCGAAGACTCACTCAGAACTAATGTTTAACCTGTTGTTGACAGAGATGAAATGTCAAGCAGTTCACGCAGCACGTGTAAATCAAGGTGAAGCATCTGATTGTATCATATTAGTATTCAGTGCTTTGGTAAAAGAGTTTATCGCAACAAGGTACCCTTGAGGTTCACTAGAATTACAGATTCACACAGCTCTCTTTTATAATACAAGTAACTTCTCGATATTTATCCTGAGAAATTCTTAAGATCATGAGAACCTTCAAGGGGCTGCTTATAATAACTTAAGGAGGTATTAAATATTTGGAAGAATATAGTTTTTCCATAATTAGGCCAACCCTCAGGGGCAGTTTCTGTATATATTCCATGATTCAAATATTATTTCTCAAATCACAGGAAACAAGAGAGAACAAGGCCAAAATTTCTGGGAAGGTTCTGAATCTCAAGAGGGAGTGAAGAGAAGAAGGCAGTCATCAGGAGATTCTCAAAATGCTGATGTGGACAACTCATTGATCAAATCTCTAGAGAGAACCACTAATCTACTGAGTGCACACCTTGAAGAACAGAAGTTGAGCCGTCAAGTGGAGAGAGAACAGCAGAAAGAACAGCATGGCAGTTTAATGGCAGCTCTTGGCAAGATTATTGATGCTCTTGAAAAGATTGCCGATAAGCTGTGAATTCCAAAAGCCTGATATCAAAACTTCTTATTCTGCTCTTGTTGAGTTAATCATTATCTTAGAAAGAGGATGGCAGATATTTTCTTTGTTGGGTTTCTGTTAGCTAGTTCAATATGCATGCAATCATCACTACTGAAAAAGTGAGTAGCATCATGCTTAAAAAAAATGATAGGCATGAAAAGAAATTTTTTATGTTTCCGTTATACCACCTTTAGCTTATATTTCTGCTTAGTTCAATCCAAAAGTGGCAATATGCTTTAGGTTCATGGCTCTACTTATGGCTCATCTGTTACAAGCAGAAACATTTTTAGTTTTTTCACAATTTATTCACTGAACATTCCGAACACTCTATTTAACCTATTTGCACTTTTAGCTTACACTAACAAGCAGTATGAATATCAGATTCTCAACTAATTCTAGTTTTGGCTACAATAAATCACATCTTCTAAGAGATATCTCCTTCGGAGTGAATGGTGAAATGACAAATTGAGAAGCACAAGTAACAAGATACAAAGAAAATCATTGTCAGCAAATGATCATCGCTTGAGGTGAATACAGAAGAAATGGAATAAATGTAAAAGATTGTACCAACAGCATTTGAGAACCCAGATCCATAGCAATCAAATGAAATTACTCAAAGGCGAAATATACACTAGACAAAAAATCAACATTCACCAGCAAAATTTCGCAAATTAAAAGGTTTAGAACCACAAGTCTATCCACTATACACATTACAGATCATGCAAGAACTAACACAAAAGTCAACAGCGTAAAACAAAGGAAAATGAAAGAAAAAAAGATGGAGGGTTTTTCCTAACATAGCAAGAGAAAACAAAAAAACAATATCTGACCTCACACTTCCTCACTGAGCTGGAATAGCCTCAACAATTCTTGAAAAGTAGAACTGTGTTGTTATCAAATCTCTCTTTCTTATTTTCCACCCAACTTTCTTCAATGCCCTCTCCACGTCTGCCTCTGCATGAAGATAAGCCCGTGTAGCCTTTGAGGGCCCAGGGAATAGTTCCCCAACTCTCTTCAGCAAATCATAGTAAAATGTCTTTGGGGCAAAACTTAATATCAATCGGCTCTCAGCCAAAGAAGCCAAGTGTGCAATCATGGCATCTGCTTTGTTCTGTGGGTAGTGTATCAAAACGTCTAAGCAGACTACTGTGTTGTACTTTCCGCCTAAGCTCTCCAAGTCTTTCACTTCGAATTTTGGCAGTACGAGTCCAGAGGGTAGCTCGTCCTTGCCATTGAAAAGCTCCTCTTTTGCCTGCATCAAAGTCGAGTGAATTTAGAAACTCAAATGTAGGTTACACCAGGTGCATGTCTGAGCAAAAATTAAATTTATCTTTTCTAGAGCTGCTTTGTTTTGCATAAATCCTGATATTCAACTTCAGACACCAGTTTTAGCTAATGAACTCAACCCTGTTATTCATAGCTTTTTAGTGACTTCAATACAATAAATTGCATGCATTTCTTTATCTATGCTATTGAACTGAAAAGGCCAGCATAATTTACAGGATATGAAGCACTCGATTCAATAAAATCACTTCTTTATTACAGTCACTACTGTAGCAGTCCTTAAGCCACCAACTTCAGTACCAACGGCAATATTCAAATATTTCAGAAGCCCAATTCACACAAGTGAACAAGCATCATAAATATATATGGCAAAATTGATACTACAGACTTGAAAGCTATAGCTACAGCAAAGTGGCATTGCAAAGACCATGATTAAAAAAGATGCCCCATCATCTTGAAAAGCTTACAAGATCAGTCATTTTGCCAGAAATTAAAAAATCTGACCAAATGTCAACATTTCCGGCCAAAATCACCAACTAGAAGTTTCATTTGTATCTCTTTTTTCCTTTTCCTCTCCATTTTGCCAAATGACTCAACAATATAATACAGCACAAATAAACAAACCTAACCTGTTTCTCAGCCTCATCAACCATGGCTGCCGAGATATCACTGGCCGCCACAATTGCCCCTTCCTTGGCCAAGGGTATTGAGAGGCAGCCCGTCCCGCACCCGGCGTCACAAACCGTGACCCCACTCAGCGGGCCCTCGTCCAGAAGCATCTTCATCACGTTCTCCACCGTCTTCGAGTGGCCCAGCCTGATGTCCCGCTGCACCTTGTTCACGTCGTCGGTTTCCCCGTAGATCCTCCGCCACCGCTGGAACCCGTCGTTGTTGAAGTACTCCCGAACTACCTCCTTGTCCCCGCCCCCGACCTCCTCCGCCTGCAGCTGGCGGCGCCTCTCCGGGTCGGCGAGGGAGAGCGCGGCGGCGAGGGCAGCGACGGACCCGCCGCCTATGACGGCGATAGCCGCGCCGTCCAGGGTTCCGGAGACTGAGGCCAAGTCCGTGGCGGCGGCGAGAGGGGGAATGGCGGCTGCTGCCGTGAAAAAGGGGGCGCGGCGGCGGTGATGCTGGTGGGGGCCGGGGAGAGGGAACTGAATTGGAGAATGCAAAATGCTAGAGAACGCCATTGTCGTCGCTATGGTTGCTGGTGCCTTTTGCTTTTCTTGGGCCGCCGTGAACGGCGGGAGTGTGGGAATTGAAGAAGTAGAAAAGAAGATTTTTGTGCTTGCTTTTCATGTGGATGTATGGATGGTGGTATCATTTTTGAGGTGATAATGTAATCGGAAGGAGGATAGGATAAGCCAATGGTGTGTGTCTACGTAGGTCCCCTCGCTCCCTCTTTTGATTTTTTTCCTTGTTTCATTCGACTTTATAGGATAGGACTTGCACGGTCCGGTTCAAGACCAAAAACCCGCGAGCTATGTTGTCTTGTCTACCACGCTTACACCTCTTAGTCGCCAATAGGTAGGGGTGAGCAAAACCGAGCCGAAATCAAAAAATTGAATCGAACCGAGCTATTCTATACGGTTTTTGAAGAGTTCGGTTAACGGGTGCGGTTTGGGTTTTGGAAAACTACAAATATTTTAGTGCGATTCGTTTTTTTTTGTTCGAAGGAAGTGGTTTAACCGAACTGCACCGAATATCATGAAGTGTCATTTTAGTATTACACTTTTACTTACATTGCATATACGATTTACAGGTTGCGACTTTGTGAGTAAAAAATTGGACACAACACATATACATTTACATTTAAAAACTTAAAAGTAAAAATTTGTTTTGTTTGAACATTAATTTATGGTTATCATTTTTCAATTTCGGTTAACCAAAAAACCTCACTGAACTGAACTGAATTTTTTGGTTCGGTTCGGTTCGGTTTTTCCTTCTATTGCGGTGCGGTTCAATGAAGAAATCCTAAATATTCGGTGTTCGGTTTTTTTCGGTGCAGTTCGGTATCGAACTGCACCGATGCTCACCCCACTACCAATAGGTTTCCGACTTTGATCCATATACATCATTTGCGTCCGAATTCATATGAAAATGTGTCTTTTGGTCCATGCAACTCTTGGTGATATCTTCTCACAAGTCACATCTATATGTACTCATTTTTTCACACGAATTAAATGATAGATATTTACTGCATTATAATGTAAGNTTTTTTTTTTTTTTTCCATTTCTGGAACAATACATGAGTAAGTTTGCCAAAATTTTGTGTATTTGAAGTGTCATTACGCACAATATGAAAGTCGTGAACTTTGAATATGTTTATTCAAAACCCTATATATTAATAAGTAGTATAATTCCGTTTTACGTTTAACGTGTTTTACGTGCCTCAACTTTGATTAATATTACGATTTCGTTTGTTCAAGTTCGTTGATTTCAAGATCACGATTCATTTGTGTCATTCGTTGTCATTCTCCAAAAAGAATACATACACACACACACACACACACACACACACATATATATATATATATATTCAATAATTGTAAGACGAATTTGTGCACTTTTATAACAATGGAAGCACGAGCACTAATGATACTCCAAGGCAACCGTTGTCTGTACACGGGCAGAATCCATCAAGACTCAAAAGTTGTCGGACCGACTTCAAGATGTGGTAACAAAATGTATTATTTTAGTTTACAACCCTTTCCTCTTTTGTTTTCTCATGGAAGACCATTCGGTCATTTCGAGAAGGACATCAATACACGTAGTCATACATAGTCCGATGTTTGATATGATAATGATTTATTGTATACATTTTCTTAATTAACGAACTAGATGGTACACTCTACGACGTTCATATTCTGGTTAACATGTCTTAAGAGTTCTAGAACTCTTTAAAAAAGAACTACAATATAGAAGACGTTGACATTAAGACATTCCTTGTTACTTAATTTTTTCAATATATATGAGATGGTTTACACCAAGTCAGTGGTCAATCAAGTTTAAGAGACTCTAATGTTCTTTCATGTTATGTTGGCCGAAGAATTGGTTATAAAGGAAGTCTTTCAAGTGATGGAAAATTTCCAAAAGTTACAATGAATTAAAAACTAAAAATCCAAATTCATTTAAATTATAGCATAAACGATTGGGTCATCTCGAGAATAGTATGGTCCGTCGAATTATTTACTTGAGCATACTATGTCAAGAAGGAATCTCCCTTCCTTTAATGAATTTATATCTTATGCTTGTGAAAATATCAAAGTTTCACTTACTAAAGTTATGACAAAATTTCATGTAGTTCTTTATATGATTCAAAGTGACATATATATATATACACCAATCCATCTCATATATAGAAATTGAATTATGAAAGCAAGTTTATGATTATCAAATTAAATATGTTCGAAAGAATAAAGCTGGTGAATTTACGTCATAAACTTTTGATACTATTATATGTCAGTAGACATTAAACTGGACCATCAAGTCCCTTATGTACACACCCTAGAATGATCTAGTCGAAATATTGATCAATCGCATAATTTTATGATAGGGACATGTAAGGTGCTTCCCTAATTCAAATATGCCATACTGTATTATGATTACTCTCTTGTACAACTTGTACGCGGCAAATAACTTAACATTTTCCATATGCGTCGATTATGAAATATTATAGATTGGCTATGAATATGCGTCAATTCTCAAATAATAAGAGCTCATGTAGAAGATCAATATACACTTAGGCATGCAAGCTGCATATTTGATTAAGATAATTTTCTAGCATTCAGGGGAGATATAAGACTAGGATTAATAAATACCAAGAAATTTTTAGGAATGAACAAGATCTTCAATATTTAAATCCACACACTAGTCAAACTAAACTCAAAGTTTAAAAGATAACTAAAATAATATGCTTTGTGCATTCACTTATCGTAAAAGGAGTGACAAACATTACTTGATGTAGATTCACCACAATAAAATTAACTCAAAATACAAATAAAAATCAGTTTGGATTTATATCCAATTGCCCCCTTAAAAGTCTCCATTTGGAGTTTGTAGTCTCCTTTATTTAGGGAGAGTTATAGTCTCCCATGTGGAGTGTTAGTAGTTTGCAATCGATATTTTTATTATTAGTAATATATTTATTATTTGGGAAAGAGAAGATTTAAATGGAAATTCACTAGCACAAATCTCACTAAGCATACTTTAAAGCAATGTTTAGAGACTTGGACGCGGCGGGTCGACCCGGGACTTGATCGACTCGAGCCGAGATTGGTTCAGGTGTGTTGTTTGGACTTGATAAACCCGGTAGACTTGGCCTTGACCCAATCGATCGGGGTATTGACCCGGCCGGGTAAACTTGATTTGACTCAACCATTAAATATTATATTTGTATTTTTTTATAAAATAAAATTATGTGTATATTATGTGATAAATATTTATGATAAAATACAATGTTATTAAGACTTTAAGGTTAAAATTTACATATAATAATTTATTTTTATTATTTTGTTTATTGTTATAGAATAATAATAATATACATATAATTTAAAATTTATAAAACGAATTATCAATTATCTAATTTAACAATTGAGTCGATGACCCGACGACTAGACCGGTGACCCAATGAGCAAAAGTTCAACCCGTGTCAATTATTAGTTCGGATTTTACAACTATGCTTTAAAGGGAGAATTCAATGTTATGCTTTTTCATCCTTAATTTACACACACGCGTATATAAGTGTAGACATGGCCACGGGTCAATCGGCCCGCCGGCCTGGCACGGACCCGGCCCGGTCAAACCCGTTGACCACGGGTAGGGGTGTTCACGGTCCGGTTTTAACCGAAAGACCGTCAATCCGGACCACGGATCAGTTAAATGGTCAGTTAAAAAAGCTTTAAAAAATCCGGTGGTTAATTTTTTAAAAAATCTGGAATAACTGGTCCGGTTAATGGATTACCTGTGGCAAACCGCTGGTTTGACCGGACTGGACCGATAAATATTAAAAAACTATAACAAATATATATATATATATATATATATATATACATTCAGTCATTCACTGTGACCGACAAATACAATACATTCACTTTCACTTTTTGGCCTTTTGTTGACTTAATTTTGTAAGACACTATAACTTTTTACGTTTTTCCACCTTCGTTTTTCATTTTCAGATTTTCCCACCTTCTCTTTGCATAATTTAATCTTCATCATTTTTGTATTTTTATGTTTATGGGACGAAATGTGTATTTTTATGCTTATGGGAGAAATGTGTATTTTTTATTTCATTATTGTTGTTTTTCTTAATTTTTAGGTCCAAATAATCTCTTTTGGGCCCAAAATTGAAAAATAAAAATTAAGCCCAAAATGAAAAAAATAAAAATTAAAGGCCCAAAACAAGGATTTTGAATTTAACCGGTTAACCGCCAAACCGGACCGTCCAATGCGGTCCGGATTGTGGCCGGATAAAAAGCAAAACCGGTCCGGTTATGGACAAGAAAAAAAAATTAACCGTTAGGTCCGGTTTGGTCATGGTTTTGGCTAAAACCGGACCAATCCGGACCGTGAACACCCCTAACCACGGGTCCGGGCCCAGCTTGGATTTCAACCGGGTCGGTTCAGGACCTTCTTTTTGTCGAAACTGGCCTGCCGGGCCGGGCCGGGTCGTGTCAGGCACGGAAAAACCAAGTTATTTCTGAATTTTTATTTATTTTTTATTTATTTTTATACAGGCGGGTCCAAATCTAGGCTCGGCTCGACTCGGCCCGCCGGGCCATGAACCCGGACGGCCTAGGTCTGTGCCGGTTCAGGATCGTGATAATCCAACCCTCCGACCCGCCATTTGGCCATGTCTAGATAGTGTATGTGAAATAAATGGTAAGTGGGGGCCGTGACTCCACATGGAGCATCAAATTTTTCGCTTTAAAGTGATTTTTTTCCTTATTTCTTTTCTTAAAAGCGAATCAACCTTATCCACAAGGAATTGACACTGACAGCCGATGTTTTGTTTTACGTCTACTGCCACCTTTCAAGAGTTAGCTGACGAGGATTCACAGTCAAATTGCAATTATTTAACTCCATTTCTTCTTCACTTTGAGCATCGCTTACAATCTGGGTTCGATTTTTGTTTCTCTTACTAGTTTGTCTTTAAATATGTTTTGATCGTGACCTCTTCTGGGGTTGGTCCGTTTACATTCATTCTTGTTGGGGGTGAGCGCATTCCCAAGCTGCCATGGCGGGGTTCAAGGTTTTCTCAGTGACTTTGACTGTGTGCGTTTTGTGTGTTTTGGTGGAGTGTAAGTATATGGTGTACAACACTTCTCAAGGCATTGTTCCTGGAAAAATCAATGTCCATTTGGTTCCACACACTCACGATGATGTTGGGTGGTTGAAGACTGTCGATCAGTACTACGTTGGATCCAACAATTCAATTCAGGTAATTTAGATAAGTACTCGCATTTATTCGATTAACTTATGCCTTCTGTATTCTGATTTGGGGGTTTGGGGTAAGTTTAATTTTAAAATGCTTAGCTTGTATTTCTGATGTTTTTGTGTGTATAATATATAATATTTGCTAAAATTGAAAGGAGAGGGAAGGGAGGGGATTTGCAATGGCCGTCTTAATCTGCCTCCACTGGCAATTTTCACAACTTGGATTTCTAAGTAGAATAGAAGAAAATGGATGGCCAATCTTCTTTTACCTGATGAATTTTTCGTTTTTGTGAGTTGAAAGTGCGGTGTGGGTTTGTGTGCAGATAGCATGCGTGCAAAATGTGCTGGATTCACTGATTCCTGCTTTGCTGGCCGACAAAAACCGGAAATTTATTTATGTTGAGCAGGTACAGTTTTCATCATAAGTACTGTTGTAATTATTTTTCAGGTCAATGAGTTAAGCAGGCTGATGTGAATGCCGTTTTGAGTTGCAACAGGCATTTTTCCAGCGGTGGTGGAGGAACCAGAATGATGATATGAAGAAAACAGTTCGAAATCTAGTTAACTCTGGTCAACTCGAGCTAATGTACTAATTTATAAAGCACTATTAACGGTCAAAAGACTTACAATGCTAGTAAAAAACTATTTCGGTTTATATGTGTTCAGACTCTTTTCGTTTTGTAAGAAGTATGGATATTAGAAATAGATACATATAGTTATTGGTTTGTGGGTGAATTTTTTGCCTTGATAATTGCTATTTATTATTATAATTTTCTCTTATTCTTATGCAGAAATGGTGGTATGTGCATGCATGATGAGGCGACAACACATTACATTGACATGATAGATCAAACAACACTCGGCCACCGATTTATCAAAGACGAGTTTAATGTCCTACCAAGAATCGGGTGGCAAATTGACCCCTTTGGACATTCTGCTGTTCAGGCATACCTTTTGGGGGCAGAGGTATCAATTATATTATGAGTCTCTGCATTTGGGTGCATAATAGGTCTTTTTGGTTTTTCCATGAATTACAACCCAAATTTTCAAATTAGTATAATTACAATTGCAAAAGGAATGTATCTCGCATGATATATGTATGTGCATAAGTTGGTATATGAATAAATGTACTTTATAGGTATATTTTGGTAATTAAGATGAATTACGTTATTTTTGGTTCTTAGGTTGGATTTGATGCTCTTTACTTTGCTCGTATTGACTACCAAGATAGAGCTAAAAGAAGAGATGAGAAGAAGCTCGAGGTCGTATGGCAGGGTTCTAAAAGTCGTGGTTCGTCCTCTCAGGTTAGCACAGAGTTTCGACAATTTTCAGACATTCACTATTAGTTTAATTGTATCATAGCTAGTGCTATTTCATAAAAAATATCTATTGTCTAATATGAAATGCGCATTTTCGTGTAAAATCAGCCTTTTGACTTTGTATTAAATTGATTCAGATATTTTAAATACGTGTAAAATCAGCCTTTTGACTTTGTATTAAATTGATTCAGATATTTACTGGTGCTTTCTATGCTGGGAATTATGAACCTCCTACTGGTTTCTATTATGAAATCAATGATGATTCCCCCATAGTACAGGTACTATTTGGAGAAATAATATCTTTTGAACTTATGTCTGTTTTGGATACTGATATTGTCTGCCTTCCGTGAATGAAGGATGACATTAATTTATTTGATTATAATGTTGAAGAGCGTGTGAATGCTTTTGTAGCTGCTGCCTTAGCACAGGTGATTCGTTATTCACTATTTTTTTTTGTCGTTTGCTTGTTTCTTGCCCTGTTCTTAAATAAACTATATTGAAATTCTTCACATTAGATCATTCTGAAGAAACCATCTTTGTCCATTTTATAGTCACATCCCTCACTCTCTCTCTCTGTTTGTTTTTGGTTCTGCTGAAGGCTAACGTTACTCGTTCAAACCATGTGATGTGGACTATGGGAACAGATTTCAAGTATCAGTATGCAGAGACATGGTTTCGGAATATGGACAAGCTTATACATTATGTGAACCAAGTTAGCTTCTTTCAAATCCATCCAATCATATTTTGACTTTTATATGACCTTTATGCTGCTACTTTTATTTAATGTACATTTTTTAACCTGATTGCAGGATGGTCGTGTCAATGCCTTGTATTCAAGTCCATCAATATACACCGACACTAAATATGCTTTAAATGAATCGTGGCCTCTTAAGACTGATGACTACTTCCCGTGAGTTCATGTTATAAATTTATGCAGTTCATTCACAACTTCTTTGCCGAGCTTAAGATCTGATGTAATAATAGTTGAGGATAATGCAAGTTGTTTTGCAGATATGCAGACCGTATAAATGCTTATTGGACCGGCTATTTTACAAGTAGGCCGGCCATCAAAGGCTATGTCAGAGCCATGAGTGGCTACTATTTGGTGTGTCTTAGAAAAATTGAAAGTTGAAACACTTCCATTTCATGCCCGATTAAGGTTGTCTGAAATCAAACTGGATTTGAATGTTTATATTAGGCGGCAAGGCAGTTGGAACTTTTTAGAGGTCGAAACAAATTAGGGGGGCCAACGACTGACTCCTTGGCTGATGCTTTGGCGATTGCACAACATCATGATGCGGTTACTGGTACAGAGAAGCAACATGTTGCTAATGACTATGCAAAACGGCTCTCCATAGGTTATAAAGAGGTGAGTCCTTTCAATAATAGTTTTTGTTTGTTACTAGCACAGTTGACCTATCTGATTTCTCTTTTTATTTTAATGTCTTTCCTTTTTTCTTTTTCCTTTTGGAAAATTCTTTCAGTCTGAGGACATTGTAGCAGCTTCTCTTGATTGTCTGACACAATCAGACTGCAAGAGTCCCGTCACAAAATTCAACCAGGCAAATCTACGTGCACCGAACTATTCTACTTTTGCCTTTTTATTTTTTTATTTTTTATTTTTTTGACTTTTTACCATTTCGTCTATGAGTGCATGGTGTCACAAGTGGTTTGGCCTTCTTCAAATCATCAAATGCTTTTATTTGTTGCCCTTAATTTTGTATTTCCATTTTTGGAATTTAAGCACATGCTTTGGTGCTAATATACTTCCTCTTTACAGTGCCCCCTTCTGAATATAAGTTATTGTCCTGCAACAGAAGTTGATCTTTCTCGTGGGAAAAAAATTGTAAGTATAATGCATTATAATTGATCAGGGTTTCTGCCATTTACTTGAAAAAGATAGTTATTTTGCAGATATTAACTGTATTTAAACTTAAATGACTCATTGCTTTCTTCCAACAGGCAGTAGTTGTCTACAACTCTCTGGGGTGGAAAAGATCGGATATCGTGAAAATTCCTGTGAGCATTTTGCATTTTTTTTTTTTTTGGCAATCCAGTTCATTTTTTTAATTTTTCTTTCATCTGGGACTAAGCAAGGCGACAAGTGTTGATGCATAATGCACATATATTTTCCAGTAAGAATTTGTAAAGATGCTATATTTCATGCTACTTGATGCAGGTAATCAGTGAGAATGTCACGGTTAGAGATTCTACCGGAAAGTTGGTCTCATCACAGCTTATTCCTATTGTGGATGTCTCAGCAGCCAATAGAAAATTCTATACTACTGCATATACAGACAAATCCCCTTCGACCGACCCAAAGTATTGGCTTTCGTTCACGGCTGTAGTCCCACCTTTGGGTTTTAGCACTTATGTGATCTCAAGCAGCAAATGTATGCAACCAACTCTTTTCTTCTCAGTGGTTAATAGTTACTGATTTTATGGAGCGTATAATGAAATATGTATTTACATTCTGTTGTGTTGCATTGCAGCTTCTGGTTTGATAGAGCCGGTTTCATACATGTTTGATGGGAGTTCAAATGGGCCCATACAAATAGGGCCCAGCAACTTGAAGCTTATATACTCTGCAAATGATGGAAAGCTTATACGATATGTTAATAGTAGAAACATGGTACACTATTTCGAAACTGCTTTGTGGAGGATAGTTACAATTGCTAACCTTGCGGTTTAGCTTAAATTATATAGGAAAGAAAAAGATTATTGCTGCCTATCAAAATAGCTATTTCGCCGAACACAAGTTTTTTTTGCACAAATCTAGAGGTGAAATTTGAAAAAATAAAACTACAAAGCTATATTGTACTTGTAATTTTTAAGGATAAATAGTCTCTTAATTTACTTTATTTATTTACTAAGTACTACTGTTATTGTTATTACAGTAAGACTTTTGTTAGGCGGGCCTATTTGTTTGACAATCATACATTTTCAATAGATATGCATACTTCCAAATTGAAAATAATCTAAAAACAACATAAACAAAAGTATGACATTTCATGACATAAATATGCATTTGAAATAAGGAAGTGTGACGGATCAACCCGCCTACTGGTTAGACCGCCTCATACAAGAATTTGTGTTGATACTATTAGGGTAAACCTTGAAACTGGTCCCTTTTTGTTATCCCATCTTTTTCATGTTATGTAAATGGTTATTTCTATTTTCTTTAACCATCCAATTGACTTTGCTCTTTCATTTTTGTTCTTTAAAGTGGGTGAAAACAGTACTTAATGATATGCTTATTGTGTGATATAGGTGAATGCTTCTGTCGAGCAATCATATAGTTATTATGCTGGTGATGATGGGAGTACAGATTTAGTTCATTTTCAGGTAATTTAAATGAATCCTTTGGAGTTTCCCCACCAAGTTGTTTTGCTGAGGTTAATCTATAATCCTGTTTATTTTTTGTAGGCTTCGGGAGCATATGTTTTTCGGCCAAATGGCACTTATGCAATACAACCTGACAGAAAAGTATATGTCTTTCTGCAATTTTAATTGCCATATTTGATCTGCTTGACCATGCACTGAATTTTTATGTTGTATTGAAGGTTCCTTTAACAGTTTTCAGAGGACCACTTTTTGATGAAGTTCATCAGGCCATTAGTCCATGGATATACCAGGTTAGGAGCTTCTTTCTTTATCTCACTGGACGAAACTCTACGGCTACTAACGATAATTACAAAAATTGCCTTAATGTGCTGGTCTAAGTACAAGAAAAAAGTATTTGTTAAACTAAAATTATTATTTAAACCTTTGACTCGGATATTTATCAAGTAAAAAATACCTCAAGTGGTTATTAGCAAATACTTTGAGGGAGATATTTGTAACTTCTATAGATAGTTGGATATTTTCATGATTATGCAAACCTCAGGTAATTTAACTAATTAATAAACTCAGTTATTTTTTTTTTCGCGGTTCATTAATGCCTATTACAAAACGTAAAGGAAGGTCTGAAACTTATATGTTCAAATGGTTTTGTTTTAAAAATAAAATCTATGTTTCTTGTGGTCTTGTCTTGCTCATTGTCAATTTTTTATCCACAGGTTACGAGGGTGTACAAAGAGAAGGAACACGTGGAGGTTGAATTTACTGTAAGTCAATTTTTCCAAACACACAATTTATATATTCTCCATGGATTCAATTGTAAACTTTGTCAACTTAAAGGATTATCAAAAATCTAAACTTCAGGTTGGTCCCATACCCGTTGATGATCGAGTTGGGAAAGAGATTGTAACTCAGATAAAAACGGATATAAGAAGCAATAGAACATTTTATACAGACTCCAATGGACGTGATTTTCTGCAGCGGGTACATAGCGCATCACTTGTTTTGCTTGGCATAATACCTTAGTACATAACCATGAACAAGTATATGCATTATTCATCTTTTATTGATAAAATTGTAATTAGCATAGACCAGTAAGATTTCGTTTATTTTGCTTAGGTTCGAGACTACAGAACTGATTGGGATCTTCAAGTGAACCAACCAATAGCAGGAAATTACTACCCTGTAAGTTTGCATTACAGTGCAACATTTCCTTTATTTTCATTCGAACTTATTATTTTTTTTAAAGTGATGTTGTTGTTGGGCAAACATAATAGTTAGGCTTAGGCAGCTATAATTTTTAACAGATATGCATACTTTCAAACTGAGATGCCATAATCTAAAAAAGAATATAAACAAAAATATGACATTTCATAGCATAAGCATGTATATTTGTTAAAATCGTATGACGGCTAGACTCGCTAATGGCTGCCTCACGCTCCCAAGAAGTGTTTTCATGATGACATTAGAATAATTTGGCTCTTAATGTTCTGAATTTGACTCTTCAATGAATAAAAATGGACTCGCTTACATAAATTGTTAGTTGCAGATGAAAAATAGACGAAGCAGGAAATTGGGAACAGCGCCAATGTTCAGCTGGCAAAATCTCTATTATTTTGAAGTGCTTGAGATCATTTGTTTTTCCAGTAACTTCTTTGAGTCTACGATAACAAAATTATTATTATTATTATTATTATTATTATTATTATTATTATTATTATTATTACTACTACTATTACTATCATCATCATTGACTTCACTTCGCTCTGCTTCGCTTCGTTCGTACACTTCGCTTCGCATCATCATCATAAGTTATGAGAACACTGTCACTGTCATGAACTATGAAGAAGTTGGATTCACTATACATGATTACTACCTTCCATTACAAAAATAATTATGGGAGTTTCATGGGATTAATTCAGTTTTCTATTCTCCGTTGTATACTGTCTTAGATAAATCTTGGAATATACATCAAAGACGAAAACACAGAGTTCTCGATCTTGGTGGATAGATCGGTTGGAGGATCGAGTATTACTGATGGTGAAATAGAGATCATGCTTCACAGGTTATTCTCTTTTGTCTTAGTTTTATTTCTTATTTATATTCATTTTTTCATTCATATAATTTCTTATTTATATTCATTTTCTCATTCATTTGTTTTGTAGGAGACTGCTCCATGACGATGGTAGAGGTGTGGCCGAGGCACTTAATGAAACAGTCTGTGTTCTTGATAAGTGCACTGGTTTAACTGTAAGAAACAGCCGTTTTATATCTAAAATACTCTCTTGATTTGTTTATTCTTTTTATCAGTGCTGCATGGCACATGCCAGGTTTCTTGGAAAATAAAATAAATTAAAATAAAGAAAATGATTTTGTAGTGCACAACTTTGATGTTCTAACATGTTTATTCGGTGATTTTTTTTTTTGATCGGTANTTTTTTGACCTGGTTATAAAAAATATATTCTAAATTTTCTCAAAGGTCAAAGGTAAGTACTATGTGAAGATTGATCCACTTGGAGAGGGTTCCAAGTGGCGTCGCTCTTTTGGACAGCAGATATACTCTCCATTTTTGTTGGCCTCTGGCGAGAAGGTAACTCCAAGAAAACCTATTTTTCTCATGATTGGTAAATTTGTTCGAAGTTTCCAATTTAATAGTTGATTTCGTGGTATACGCAGGACGCTAAGTGGACAAATTTCCCAATATCAACTTTTTCAGCCATGGATCCTTCTTATAGTCTACCTGATAATGTCGCAATAATAACCCTTCAGGTGATTCTTTTTACATGACAACATACATGCTGTGTCTGAAAATTCTCTTAATTTTGTAACATTTAGCGAATTTTTATTTGCACTTTTGTCTGCTACCTTAGGAGCTCGAAGATGGAGCTGTTCTGCTTCGGTTGGCACATCTATACGAGGTTTTATGTTCAATCATGGAAGAAGTTTTCTTGTGTTCAGTTTACCTACTGTGAATAATTTTTTTTTTTGCAAAAACATTATATCAATTACAGCACTATTCTTAGGCTAAACTTAACTACAAAGAAATTCGATGGTGTCTTAAAACTTCAAATGCCCTCTTGAGGTTTATATTTGTCTTATGGAGTATGAATTAGCGGGTTAACATGTCAATGGAGGAATATAAATTTTTTAAACGATAAAATATTTCAAGATAATAAAATCTCAGTACTCATCACGCTTTGAAAGATGACCAAGCCATTTTATGTAGTTAAGCTAAATCTCAAGGGTATGAGTACAATATATATTTCTGTCTTTTATGTCAATGTTGCTAAATTATTTGTCTCCTAACATTCCGACTCTTTGTCAAACACACACACACACGTGATAGGTTGGGGAGGATAAGGATTTATCCAGAATGGCAACCGTGGATTTGAAACGAGTTTTCTCAAAAAATAAGGTGAAAAAAATGAGTTAAATCCCTCTTGGATTATTATTCTAGTAACTCAAATATCTTCCCTTATTATTACTAATTTTGATACTAACTCCTATTTTCAGATCAACAGCATAAAGGAAATGAGTCTATCTGCTAACCAAGAAAGACAAGAAATGGAAAGCAAAAGATTGTCTTGGAAAGTCGAAGGCTCCAAAGCAGAACGAGAAAATGGTCCGAGGGGAAGACCTGTGGACCCTGTAAAGTTGGTGGTCGAAATTGCCCCTATGGAAATCCGAACCTTCACCATCAACTTCAGTTCAGGTCTTGTCAAATTCAGATAGACAGAGGCCATTGCAGCAATTTTTTCAGGTATAATTACCATAACTACTACTGAATTTTAACCTAATTACGAACGGCTTCGCGAACAATTTCAAATTACAAAATTAGCCCTGGAATTTATTTGTCTTATAAAAGTGCACTGTCGTGATGGGTTTATTTGTAAGTTAAGTACAAGCATTGAGGGGTTATTTGTGATTTTTCAGAAAGTGCTTTTGTCTTGTTTGGAATTTGATTGAACTTCCTATTTATTATTCCGCCCTACAGTTTGTAGTTAAAGAATCAATATCAAAGTTATCTGCTGCATGTATTTTTTTTCTAGATGATTTCAGGTTGCGTTTTGCCAACATACTCAATAAAGAGCTTGAATGCGAGGCCGGCTGTGTGTTTTGTAGCGTTTAATAAATCGAGGGCTCGTCTGATGTCCGATCTCAAAAATGCCATGTTGATGACGCTTTGTTGTCTTGTTATTTTCTTCTTCTTTTTTCCGTTCTTTGTTTTGTAAGCTTTTGGTGATAGGAAGAAATGTAGTGTTACGAAACCTTTTGAACTTCAATAAATCAGTGATGATTTCAGTTACCTGTTAAATTACTGTGCAGAAAGTATAAATTTTAATACATATAAGGTCTTTTCCCATT